TAAAAGTTGCCTTAAAATTCGGGTTTTAATTTATTTTATTATTTAAAAATTTCATTTAAGATCTATTAAGTGTGCATTTTTTAATTATTTTTTTCTGAGAAACAACGAATAACATTAAAACCTCAGTCTCTATATTTATAAAATTTCAATTCAAAATGTAATAAAACTTTTAGAATATCGGTCTTTATATTTGTGCATTTCAAACAAAAATATTGAACGCTATTTTTTAAATATCATTTTTCACTAATCATCACAATTTATTTATTTGGAACGTGTGATAATAAACTTAGTAATGTTTATCAATTCTTTGTTTGCTAGTCTATTTTTTTTTTTAACTCGGTTTTAAAAGGTAAAATAATTTTCAAATCTCAGTTTCAATAGTTGTGCATTTCAAAAAAAATATTTAATGATAATACATTATTTGTTAATAGTACACAATTTTTGAAAACTCCATTATAAATTGTATGTTGATATCCAAATCATTTTATAAATGCAACCGTCTTTGTTAAATCTCCATAAAACAAAATGAGACGATCAACTTTGTATGGAAATAAAGTAAAATCAATAAATCAACATGAAATTCACAGTAAATGAACATAATTAGTAATTTGAATAGTACACGGACCTCAAAACTAATACTCACGTAGATTCTTAAATGAAAACTTATACTTTTGGAAATTGAATAATATAATGTAGGCAAGATGTTTTTAAATAGTTTTATACATGTTTTATTTACAAAATAGTTTAAATAAATTTTAGGTGACTTCATATCTTTCAATAATGATATATAAAATTTTAGATACTTTACATACGTCGTATAATATTTTATTTTAAGTGTTTTTAATATTTTAAACATACATTTTTCTATGTTTTTTTTATACAAGATAATTTTATATGGTTTACAACTGATATACGATAAATTATGTCACATATTAACTCCACATCTTAATTTATAATTATTAGTAATATTGTATACCCTCATATTTAATTTAAAATTATTAGTTAATATAGTTTACCATCATCTTTAGTTTATAATTATTATTTAAAATTGTTTATAAAGATTATAATTATTATTTAAAATTGTTCGATGCACGGGTTACATACTAGTACAGAAAGTAACAAATTAGTGTTGATGTTGAAAAATTCAACCCAAATAAGGTAAATAAAGACATCATAAAACTATGAAATTAGTGCAATTTCTTTTCATAAATATTTCTTATAGCTTTTATATCATAAATTACTGGAAACTTTCAACTGGTAATTAATTTCATTCAGGCCTTGTTTGGTAATCAGCGGTTAGCTGTTAGCTGTTAGCGGATTGCATTAGCTGCTTTGACCAGCGGATTGTATTTGCTATTTTGACCAACTGATTATGTTAGCGGTTTGTAAAAGATTGTTTGGTAAAATTAGTTATTTTAATCAGCTGTTAACATGTAAAATTACTAATAAGGACATATGTTAAATTATAATTAATTAAGAAATACAAATAAATAATACTTAAAATAATTATTAAAGTGATTTAAAATACAATAAAAATATAAATAATAATAAAAATATTTCTTAATCGAGTAAACAAGTTCACGTCATATAAACACAACCGTGTAATTATTACAAAAATATGCATTTATTCTAGTTAAATATAAATATTAGTTCAACCAAAAAGAGTCATAATTATTGATTATAACAACATGTACTTAACTTTTCACGTATTAAATTTTATTGTTATGCCAATTATATGAGCAAGAAATATCAAATTAAAACTTAAAAAAAGTATGCAATGAGAATAAAAAAATTAGTAAAAAAATTAAAAACATGACACA